TATTAACTTTTAGCTACACTTAATCAAGTCTTGCTTTTTGAGCCTACCCCTATTTTGGAATAGATGCTGTACAACTGGTAGTGATGACAAATCAAGGGGCAGAGGCACTGGATCGAATGTACATCTGGCACTAAAGGACGCAAGTTTCCTTCAAAATGTTTGCATCCCCAGTCTCCGGACAGTAAAAGTAGTTATTGAGATTTCCTGTCCCTGCGGAGCCATAAGGAGTGGTACCCAGGGAAAACACTTGTTTTACAGACCTTCTTCAAGATGCAATCCACTCAAGAAGCCTTTCAGTCAAATCAGGAGGTGCTCAGGAAGTTGCCATACAGAGGAGCTGTGTGTTGATACATGCAGTGCTGCAGGCCTGGGGAAGAGTGGCTGGAAAGCTGCCTGACGGAAAAGGACCCGGGGGTATCGGTTGACAACTGGCTCAGTATGAGCCAGCAGTGTGCCCAGGTGGCCAAGAAGGCCAATAGCATCCTGGCTTGTATCAGAAATAGTGTGGCCAGCAGGACTAGGGAAGTGATCATCCCTTTGTATTCGTCAATGGTGAGGCTGCACCTCAAATACTGTGTTCAGGTTTGGGCCCCTCACTACAAGAAGGACATTGAGGTGCTGGAGCGTGTCCAAAGAAGGGCAACGAAGCTGGTGAAGGGTCTAGAGCACAAGTCTTACAAGGAGCAGCTGAGGGAACTGGGGTTGTTGAGCCTGGAGAAGAGGAGGCTCAGGGGAAACCTTAGCACTGTCTGCAACAACCAACCTGAAAGGAGGTTGTAGCGAGGTGGGAGTTGGTCTCTTCTCTCAAGTAGCAAGTAATAGGGCAAGAAGAAATGGCCTCAAGTTGCACCAGAGGAGGTTTAGATGGGATATTAGGAAAAATTTCTTCACTGAAAGGGTTGTCAAGCATTGGAACAGGCTACCCAGGGCAGTAGTTGAGTCCCCATCCCTGGAGGTATTTAAAAGACATGTAGATATGGTGCTTAGGGACAAGGTTTAGTGGTGGTCAGTGCTAGGTTAACAGTTGGGCTCCATGATCTTGAAGATCTTTTGCAACCTAAACTACTCTACGATTCTATTCTAGGATTCTATGATAGTGTGATTTCTTATACCATAATTATGTAAAGGAGCACATAACTTTTAACAAAAAACTGCATATGCTGATTGTTATGTTAGCTTAGTGATAAACTTAGCACCAGTGCACGTTATCTTGCTCTTGGGGAGCATCGATGCATCACCTTTCTATTCTGAATAAATTTCCAGTGCTGCTTAATTGGCACCATTGGGAATCAAAGGGAGAAAGTAACAGGCAGCAGATGATCCTTCAGAGCTACTCTGATGGTGCACAAGCTGGTGTGGGTCTTGGGAGACCACTGTCCGGTTAAGTGGTGGAATGATGTGAAAGAGAAGTGAGGAAATGTTGCTTGGAGGGAAATTTCAACTAACAGCTTGGCCACAAAGCAAGAGTGGCATTTATAACTGATCAGTGGTAAGGCAGAGGATGGGAGGGCAGAGAAAAGGACAGAAGAAAGGGGCATCTCATGTCTTACATAATGGCTTGCAAGTTGAAGAATTAGAAAACAGAGAAATATTTGCTTTTTGGTGTATATTCCTCCACCAAATAGGATAAACAGATGTAGTACCTAGGGTTCAAAATGTCTGTGGGGTGTGACAAAGCAGGAGTTCATCTTCCATTTAATGTTTTTTCTGTTTCTGTTTTAAACTCGTTATTTGTACCAACCACATGCATATATGGTTGCATAAGCTATAGTTTGATATAGTACTATTGATTCTTCTAATGTCCAGCAGTTGTGTCTTGTTCCAGCCATCTGTACCTGAGGAATCAAGACAGCCATAGTGGAATGGCCTCTACTTTCTGCATGTGACAGAACCGAGGTATCAGCTCAGTCGTGAAGACTGCACTTCAGGATAAAGTCTTCACTTTCTTCAGAAGAAAGTCTTAAGAAAAGATTAAGAAAAAAATGTCTAAGAAACTTTGAGAGAAGATCTTAAATTTCCTTCTTCCTTTCCATGCCCTGATGATTGAAAACGGGCTTCAGGTTTGGCAGAAGAGCTTTTCAAGGGAGAAATGAATTTTCCAGGGAGTGGCTTGAGAAGTACAGGCAGAAGATGCTTTTCAGTACTGCTCTATTTTGAAAGTCCCCCCCCAGCCTAAGAAACAAGAAACCATGCCACATGTAAGAGTGGACTCTATGACTTTGCTGTGGCAAGTTACCAAACACTGCTCTAACCCACCAGCTCTGTTAGACTTCACCTTTCTTGTATCCCTCCTTGAGCTCTATTCTCTGTATTTTTTTCATCACTCCCTGTGCTCGTACTTCTGCTTCTCTTATCCCCCAAAACAGGACCCAATAGTAAAGGCCAGGAGAAAGGATAAAGTGGGGACTGGTGTACTTTACTTGGAGAACTGCCTGTTGCCCTTAGAGGACAGCATGGTCCTGGCTCACCGGAGGAGAAACCCCATCTGCCCCTGCAAAATCCTCATCCAGAGGATGAGCTTTTCCCACAGCCATTGGGAATGGGAGAAAACCTCGTCATGGCTCAGGATGCAGCTGGAGATATTTGGGGGCAGAGAGAGGGGACCACTGAGGAGTTGTGGTTGAGGATCACTGAGAAATGGGGATGGAACTGAAGTGCTTGCTTCCCTGCCTGATTTGGTTTTCGTTGCTGTGAAGCAGCAGGCCGCTCACTCAGGGTTAACTGAGGCTTTTTTGTGGCGAGACAGAAAGCGAGAGTGTGTGGGTCTGTCACGGACTTTAATGGGGTAATTTGAAGGCAGGCAGGTTAAGACTTCGAACTACTTTTCATTTTTTAATCCGTTTGCAAGTCCATGTAAACAGAGCTGTGAAAATGGAGCATGTTTGGTTCTGCTATGAGCAAATTTCACCTCAGCTGTGTGTCTGTTTCCTAAACGTTGGCGTTGTCTGAAGGATGTCCGCTGGAAAAAATACCGGGCAGTGCTGCTTCCACAAACAATGCTCATGAGCATCCGTCCTCCAGTTCTTTCTTTTGTCACATTGTTTCACAGTATAATATTTTACATACGTTTTTAGTTTAAATGTTAAACACTGCCCTGGTACTTCATCAGGAGTTTCTGTGCTCATTTACTTTTAATTTACTGCTCCGTTCAAAGTCAGCAAGACTTCTCACGCATGCCAAAGGTAAGCCCACACTTGGTCTAACTGGTGGCTGTGTGAGAGTGAGCCGGCTTGCCTGGCCATGGCATGTGGGACCCGAGCCTTGCCTTCGAATGAGCCTGGGCTTTGGGAAGTCACCTGTTTTCCAGCCCCCCTGGTGCCAAGGCTTTGAGGAGAAATTTGAGCCTCATTCAAGCCACTAGCCAGGTTTCACTGGGGGCTACCAGGCCTGTCTGGTTATCTTCTGCTGACCTTGTTACGGCCATCGGGACACACTTACCAAATGGAGTCGTTGCCAGGCAGTCACATTAACGAATGGCTAGCGTTAATTTGCCCTTTGAAAACGAAGAAATCAATATGTTGATCCGGTCGGAAATCCCTTTATTCACAAAACAGTCTACCCCAAACCCCTCCACGTAATTAAGGCTAAAGCCAAATTTTGTTTGGGTGAAACGTGCAATCTGTCTGCTCCCTAAGCTGTGCTGAATGAAGTTCTCCCCTAATGGCGCAGGGAGCAGCTGTCGCGCTGTTGCTCTAATAACCATGAGACAAAATGATTATATTTCCATCAGTCATTTAGCATTACCAGAATAGGTCATTTTAATAAAATGTTATCATAGGATCAGTGCCTGGCACCTTAGAAAGGAGAGGGGCAGTGATGGAGAGTCATCTCGTGACAGCCTCTGGGTGATCCCCCTTGCAGGAGATGCTGATCCGGATTGATCCAGCAGTCCCCCTAAATCCACCATTTTTTATGAGAGTGTTTGATACCAGGATCTTTTGAGAGTAAAGACAGTCCTGTAATCAACTTAAATGGCTTTTTGGTTTCAGGAAGTATCCCCTTGTTCTTGCACTGTATAAAAAAATCACCAATCGTTCATCTTGGGGAAAATCCTCAACAGGTTGTAAGTGGTGTGGGGGACTAAGCCCTGGTTTCAGAAGCCATTTCAGAGCCAGAAGTTACATGTCCAGCAACGCGGATGGCTACCAAGTCAGTTTTCTGAACATGTAAAAGGGTTTCATGGGACTGTTTAAATGCATACTCTTCCCAAAACCCTGCTTGGTTCCTGCCTCTGTCTTTAAGCCACTGAGTATGTTTGAAAACCTGACCCCTTGGCCCCCTTGGTTTAAATGTTCATCTGTTTTCAGTGTTTTACCTACTTACCATGTCCCTTCGTGGTCATCTCTGTGCTGCATCCAAGATGTCTCTCCAGTGTCCCTCTGCAGAGAAGTTTCACGGCAACAGAATAAGCTGGACCCTAACCCCATTTTTAAAGCTGGATGGACCCTACCTGTTGATGGTCTGTCATATGATCAGGAAAATGGAGAACTACGAAGTCCAACCCGAAATTCGTTGCTCCTTACTGTTTCTCTTGAGCAGCCTCCTTTGTCTGTCCATCAAGGGTGGTGGTTGGTGTCAAATGCTGATGAAGATTTGTCCAGCTTTTTGGTCATGCTGAGAAAGGATGATCGTGAAAAATGGAGAAAAGCTGGAGGATCCTTCCATGCTTCACCTGGAAATATGCTTAACAAATAAACGATACACTGGGTTTCTGTAAATCAGGCTTGACCATTGTTTTTCTTTGGAGAGAGGGTTTTTTCTTTCCTGCTTGGGAGCAGCTGAGCTGGCAAAGAAGCACACTCAAACCTCGGCAAGGGAGAAGCGTTTTGAGGCAGGGTCGTGGTGCAACTTACTCCTTACTATGAGTTTGAAGCTTCTGGATGCAAACAAATCAGACTTGCTTGTCAGTGTAAGCTGTTGTTGGGTTTGGAGTTTT